CTGGCTGTGTCTGCCTCTCCCCAGCCGATCCGAATCACAGAATCTCTCCAAATCAGCACCAAATCTTCCAAAGCTGATTCGACCAAATCGATTCAGGACAGTGATCTGAATCCCTGAATCAAATCACTGCCCTCCAAATCAGCCAAATCCAAATTGAATACTTCCCTATTCACACACGCCTACTTGTTGCCTACACCTCTGAGAATATCCGTCAGCAGAGCTTCATGACAGGACGATGGTGGCCATTAGCTTGTCTTGTTAGATTTGTTTGCCCTTGTGTAGGGAAAGAAAATGCATTGAACTGGCTTATTGGAATATGTGCTTGAGTAAGAGGCAATACAGCCAAGGTCTTTCCTGACCCTTCTGGATTGCATTCTCATTTACACTGAGATCTTTGTAAATATATTTATGTCCTCTATAAGGACTGTCTTTACACTGCCAGGGTGGCACAAGGGGGCCCTCAGCTACATAGGAATCAAGTTCTTTGTCTCTCGCTCAGCTGTTTTCCTAATTCTTTCCAACAGGCTTTTCCTCTTCCTGTACAGAGAAATAACTGTATGCAGCAGTGTCTTAAAATTATCCAGAGTTCCTTCTTAAGTGTGTCCAGCACATGTTTGGTTACTTATTTTACGTGCATATGAATAAGCATCATCTAGAGTAATTCAGTCCAGAACAGAGGTCGACAATGTTTTCAGCAGAGTGGCAAAAACACCTGCAACCTTGTAAGATTTTGGCAAGCCAGGGCAGATGGTGGGGGCGTCACAAGGGGCCTGATACTTGTTGTGGAAGTGCAGCCCTGACTCCATCCCCGCCACTCACCCTGAGGTATGCGTGCACCTGCCCCCAGCAATGATCCAAGGCTCGGCTCCGTGAACCCCTGTACAGCCATTTGCAGCCGCCCAGCTTCCTGCCACAGCAAGCCCAGGCTCTGGGCAGGCCCCTATTGCCAATTACGGAGCCCTGGCTGCTCAGAGCAGGTGGCAGGGAAGCTGCAAGCAGCTGCACCAGGGTCCACAGACCCCTGGCCCAGCTCATTGTGAGCAGCAGGTGCACACATGCCTCAAAGTGGACGACAGAGAAGGGGCCAGGGCTGCAATGTCACAACAAAAATCAGGCCCCTTGCGGCTCCCCCGCCATCCACCCTGAGGCACATGTGCTAAGCCTTCGTGTGCCACGCTCTGGTACGTGTGCCAGGAGTTGCCTACCCCTGGTCTAGATTACAATATAAAACAATTACTGATGCAATATGGTGCAGGGTGCTAGGAAGTAAAAAGCCAAGTGCTCCCAACTAGACACATTGTTTCCCAAGTAATTAGTTTGGCTATGGTCCGTAGATGAAGTGAATATATTTCCACAAAATTGATGCTGGCTAAAAAAGAAAAAATTTATTACCCTGAATTCTCCAATTTTAGTCAGGTTTAAAAAAAGCAGGAAAGAGATGGTGAGAGAAGTTATTCCATCATTGTTTGTTACTTTTGATGACATAGGTGCTGCTCACAAAGTATGTTGACAAAAATCCCACTGCTGGCAGGAAGTTGAGCTCTTGATGCTTAATCATGAATGCTTGTAAAAATAGGGGGCTGGATTCAGTGATCCCAAAGCTTGTGACATTACCTTTTTTGTAAATAATCTTCAAAAATATTTATTCTTTTCAACAGAGTGGTGCTCGAATCAATATTTCAGAAGGCTCCTGCCCAGAAAGGATTGTGACAATAACAGGCCCAACAGATGCCATTTTCAAGGCTTTTTCTATGATTGCACTAAAATTTGAAGAGGTAAACTAATAAAATGTATTACCTTGTATTTTCCCATCTTCAAGTTGCAATACAAATATTAGTTCAGTTTTTTCTTGTGTTTGCTTTAATGCTAAATATAATTTGTTTAATGTTCTATTTGATGGCAATGAAAGTGGTTATAGTTTTATAAATGCTTTTGGCAGTAATACTAGAAGAGCAATAATGGGTCAATTTACAAGCTGTTTGATCACTCCTTTTGATTTTTGCAGATTTCAGGGGAAAACAATTGCTTCTAGTAATGTGCACTAAGGGTGGAAAAAATGTCTTGGAAATTTCTGGTCCCATTGTGGATTTGATTTGAAAAGAATAATTGCCTAACTTTCAACAGCTTCTATGTAATTCTATATGGTATTGATGTAATTTTTCTGTCAAAAAGAATGTACATGTCATTCAGCTAGAGTCCTTTTAAAGTTGCTTTAAACACAAAATATATCACCAATTACCATATTTTGATTTGATATTTTACAATCAATTAAAATGAATACACTAAGAATGAGCAAGGCAGAAAAGAACTCGTTTTACTGTTAAATTAGCACTTTGTGCATATATCTGTGTGCATCCAGTCTTCTGGGCCTTCATAAACTCACTCAGGCCAAGCAGAATTAGACTTGGCCAATATTTGGACTGCAAAACGGAAAAGCTGCATAATGCAGGAGGCTGTAATGATTCTGTAGCGGTACCCTCCTGTTGGTGGTGGTAATGCAGTGTCCCACCATGGTGTGGGGGAGAGAGCCACATTTCAAGGGAAATGTAAAACTATCTGAGACTTTGGTGATTGGTAACTATTCTTGTAGCACTGTGATTAACACAGCACTGGAGAGAACCTCCTAGGTTACTGAGCTCAGTCCCAAGCTACTGAAGATGATCACAACATCTAACCCCTTTTGCAAGCTGATCAAGTTCTATTTAAAACTAGTTAGGTTCTTTGCCCTCACAATAGGGAAGCTATTCAAGAACCACATTGCTATGACGCTTCTTCCAGTTTCCAACTTAGATTTATTTGTGGCTGGTTCATATCCATCAGTTCTTGGGTCAATGCTATCCTTCAGTATAAATAGTTCTTCTCAGAAGTTTACATGCATGTTGTATTTATAGGGAGTAGTCATATCAAATCCCACTCCCAAATTCACTTTGTTAAGTGAAGCAAGCCATGCCCTTTTAATCTTCTCTTAAAAGAAAGACTCATCTTTCTCTTGATCATCCTAACAGCCCTTGTTGGTGCTTGCTCCAATTTGATTTTCTCTCTCTTGTGGATGAGTAGCCAGGACTGCACATAGTATTCCAGATGAACTCTCACCAGAGCCGTGTAATATGTCATTAGTACTTCTCTAGCTTTACTGGAAATTAGGGCTGTGAGAAGCTTCAATCCCTGATTCGATTTAGCAGAGATTTGGCCCAATTCGGTGGCCAAATCTCTAAATCCAAATGGAATCAGGAGACTCATTAATCTCTCCAATCGAATTGGAGACCCTCTGAATTGATTTGGAAAGATTCGGTGATGCGGACATAGACACAGCTTTAAATGTTTTTTCTACATACCTCAAGGTACCAGGCAGCTCATGAATGCTGAGATGCTGGGCTGGATGGAACATCTCACAGAAGTGCAGGGGGCTCCCCAACACGCTTGGCAACAGACCCAGAAGTAGACCAGAAACACTTCCAATCCACTTCCAGGTCCGACTGGTGCTTCCTGGGTCTGGGGAGGAATCTGGGGTCCCCCCACAGCCAATCGCCAAGCTGGGGGTGTGGAGGGGCCCCCCAATGCACTCCCCAGCAGACCCAGAAGTGGACCAGAAGAACTTCTGGTCCATTTCCAGGTTCGCTGCTGAGCACGCAGGAGGCCCCCCCATGCGCTCCTGTGAGATGTTCCATCCGCCTCAGCATCGCAGCTTTCACAAGCCATGCCTGGTACCTCAAGGTATGTAGAAAAAACATTTAAAGCCATGTCTATGGCCAAATCACTGATTCTCTGAATCAGTATCAAATCTTCAGATTTGGATTCAACCGAATCAAACTGGGGACAGTGATCCAAATCAACAAATTGAATCACTGTCCCCAATTCAGGCTGAATCCAAATTGAATATGGCCCATTTCACACACCCCTACTGGAAATGTCTCACCCCATTTCACAATTGTATCAAAATGATGACTCATCCTCTACCTGTGATCAAGTAGCATTCCTGCCTAAGTATTTCTCTTCAGTTATTTCCAAGTAGCTGATAGCTGAAATCCATATAACCAATCCTAAATTTGTGATCTTGTAGTTTAAATTATTAAATTTCATCCCATTTCTATTACTCAAGATGTCCTCAAAGTCAATAACTCCCAATTTTAGGTTATCAGAAAATTCGATTAGGATACTCTTACTTTTTTGTTACCAGGTCAGTAATGAATATGTCAGGTAAGATCAGTCCCAATACTAAACCTTGAGGAACACACTAACAATCGTTCTCCAGACTAACAGTTTCCCTTTTAACACAACCTGTTCTCATCTTCTCTTTTGCTAATCTTTACTCCCCTTACAATTCTAATCCTAATCCCCCTCTTCCTTATTTTAATAATTTCCAATGCACACCATATCACATACTTACTGAAGTCCAGCTGAATGAAAACCACTTCCAGTACCACTTCATTATCTAGAAAATTGGATATAAAAAATCAAGTTACTCTGGTATGATCTATGTTTGGTAAGCCCATTCTGAATTTATTCCATTTCCTTCCATGTCTTTAATTAATATTTATTTCAAAATTCTGTTCTAAAATCTTGCGTATTGTTGAGATAAAATGAACAGGCTTTTTCCTCAAGGAATAAGACATTTCTACTCAATTTAAACCTCTATAGTTTTACATTCTGCCTCTATTTCCCTTTCATTTTCATCTTTTCCTCTAAATGTTGGATACATTTGCTATACACATAGTTAAATAATTGCCATATTCCAAGGGTTGTGTGAAATACATCAAAAGTCATCTTTTGTAGTGCAGCTACTCTATAGCAACTATATCTTTAAAAGTTCTGAGGAATTCCTTCAAGGTGTGTATAACTCTCAAAACCCACTAAGAGCCATGACAATGGAAAGTCACTCAACATCTCTAAAAACACATTCATCTCTACTCAGGATCAGGACTATGAACTGAGATATCCTTAGCTGCTGTACCCAACAAATGGCAGGGGAGTTTGGCTTCATCATTTATTGACTTGCTTACTAGGGGATCAATTTGTCTCCTAATGTGGCAGTTATTAGTCCAAAAGTTATCTGAATTCATCATAGATAGAATACTTGTGCATTTTATACTAGAAAATACACATATATAGATCAAATATACACATATATAGATCTGGGCCAAGGGTTAGCGAGGACTTAGTTAGGGAGCTTCTGGAGGGGCTGGACGTATTCAAGTCAGCCGGTCCGGATGATCTCCACCCTAGAGTTCTAAAGGAACTGGCCAAGGTCATTGCAAGTCCCCTGGCACGGCTTTATGAACACTCGTGGTGCACTGGAGAGGTGCCAAAGGACTGGAAGAGGGCCAGTGTGGTTCCAATCTTCAAAAAAGGGAGGAAGGAGGACCCAGGAAATTATAGGCCAGTTAGTCTTACCTCAATCCTAGGCAAGCTGTTTGAAAAAATAATTCTGGCACACATCCAGGAGGGGCCAGTAGGGGACTGCATGCTTAGGGGCAACAGCATGGGTTCATCAGTGGCAGGTCCTGTCAGACCAGCCTGGTGGCTTTTTATGATCAGATCACCAGATCATTAGATGCAGGGGTAGCAGTGGACATAGTCTTCCTGGACTTCCGGAAGGCTTTTGACACTGTCTCTCACCTCGTTCTCATTAAGAAAATGGGAGGCTGTGGCATAGACACCCACACAGTCAAATGGGTCGCCAACTGGCTGGAGGGCCGCACCCAGAGTGGATGGGTCCTTCTCAACCTGGAAGGACGTGGGCAGTGGGGTTCCGCAGGACTCGGTCCTCGGGCCTGCACTGTTCAACATCTTCATCAGTGATCTGGACGAGGGGGTAAAAAACACCCTGTTCAAATTTGCTGACGACACT